CGGTGGCGGCGGCGGCGCGCGCGCAGGCGCCGCCCGCGCCCTGCCGCTAACACACTACTCCATCCACAACGACATGCATGCAGTGAAGCTTGCAAGTAAAACCAGATTCAGTTTCATCTGTGCTCAGTTTCATATGATTCATGATTTTTCTGTGTGATGTTAAGAGTCGTGCGTTGAGGAGAAGCGTTTCGAATTTACTTTGCTCGTTAATTATTCGTTTATGTGATTCAGGTACAGTTGTTAATCAAGAGTCAAGTACGAACAGCTGAAATGCAGAATGTATAAGTATCGGTCCATACGAATACTAATCGTTTGTAATAATGTAGATACGGGCGACCTGCCTGACGTCGTAGGGAGATAGAGCTTGTTGTTAAGTTGTGCAAAGTGGTGTATAAATCTACATAACGAATTAATATACAAAGATGTGGGTTTTCCGTGATCATCTCCGTGTGTGAGTTATACAATGTTAACAGTCGATGTTTCAGAGGATGCCCGCACCTTTGCATTTGATAAGAAGTGACGAAATTTTTAAATACAATGCGATACCCCCTTAACCTCTTCTATGGTGGCGAGCCCGTCTTCGGGTCGGCTGAAAACCCTACGACGCTTCAACAAGATTAGCGAAAAAGGTAAAATAGATAAAATTGTAAATAATGTAGTGTTGCAAACTTTGCATATCACTCACCTCCCTGGTCGTCTAGAGCGACCAGAGTACGAATGCCGGCCTCCTTGCTCTACGCCGCAGAAACAAAAAGTCACAGAGCATGTTAGTTGTGAGGGGTACAGTGGAGTGAGTGGGTGGTCGGCGGCCGTGGGGCCGGCGCCGCGACGTGCTGTGTCATTGTTATTAGGAGTATTGTGCGCCATCATATCGTATTTTACAGTGTGACACCAGGGAGAACATCTCCAGCGTGATCAGCAAATGTCACTGACGGTACATGTAACGGGATGACCTCATAGCAGATGATGACGACTTGGTAGGTGTTCTCCCTGGTGTTTGAGCTGTGTTGTTTGGAGATGTACGGAGTCTTGTTTAGTGTCAGTAAGACATAAATGTTATTCATGTAACTTTATATGGTACTGACATTGAGAAAACATATTTATACATAAAACGATATTTTTACAAAATAATTAATCATTAGTATGTCGTATCGTAATACAATAAAGTAAAATAAATAAGGATAAAATATATAAACAGAAATGTGGACAAGTATTTATGATACTACTTCATTGGTCTGTATTTTGTGTGAGAGTCAGAATGAGGTGTAGCTCGATATATTTGTTGGAGTTCAGTGGCAGGTACGGGGTGTGTACGCGCCCATATACTGGCAGTATTGTGAATGTTCGAGAAGGCATGAAAATCATACAACATAATAGATTTACAGTCAACAACAGAGAGCAGCCACTACACAGAGACCTAAAATACAGAGACAACTAAAATAGGATAGAACAAACATCAACATACACTGATCCTGGTGATTCTTGTAGAGGTACAGATCAGTAGGTGTTTGAATGTCAGAAACAGTCGGAGAGGCACAGAGGCAAATCATATCAGATAGATGTCTATGAAGAAGGATTAATAAAATTATCAGAATCAAGACAAGACTGTAGTAAAAGGTGCGTTTGAAAGTAGTGACCCAGCCTGGAAGGGCGGATTGGTTAGTAAGAATACGAAGTACTAGTTAGTAATAGAGTTGGCGTCCAATAGTAGGTAAAGGGTTTCGTTTAGAAGCAAGCCCAAGCACAAACGGATAGACTATTATATCAGACAGGAAAGCGCACATCTGGGTCAGATACACTAAAGGGGATGCTAACATCTGAGAAGTATTTTCATCTAAATGGGACTTGGATTGTTCTCTATTGTCAATGATGGGCTTCATGCTTGGAACCAAAAACAGCGATTTGGGCACACATTAGGAGCTGACGGTTAACATTTTCTATTGCATATATCAGTTTCGTTATAAAAGAAACTTAGATAAGTGGATTCACTAAATTCTACACAAATTAACAGTCAGCGCCAATAGCCGAGATGCCCACAATATAAAACTCACATAAAATGTACAGAGCTACTGAACAACACAAAGGGCTATAGAGGTCACTAACATTTTAGGACACAGTAAGGCACGGATCATGCAACACCCAATGTATGATTATAAAACATATAATACTGTTTACATATTATATATTATAATCAAATAAAGGTCACGAAAACAAAAATAACATAAAAGGGAAGTTATAATAGGAGAACTACAATAAATATACATAAACATTTATAGACAAAACGTAAATATATTTAGCGACATCGATACACAACAGCCAGGGATAGCAGAGGCTGCGCCCTAGGGGATACTGGGGACGAGCGTCGGAGACCAAACCGAGCTTGGGGCTATCCAGGACACTTCCGCTATACCCCTCACTCCCTCGCATCGAGAACACCTCTCTCACAGATGATCACAAATAATCATATAACCAACGAAATTAAATAAACAAACTATGTGGGGAAACAAATTTTTGAATTCAACAGAAACGCGTCTACCAATAAATTCCGCACAGTTATAAAATCTTCTAAGTAAGAGTTTAACAAATAGACATGGGAAATTTCTCAGTATTCTCGCACGGTTGGAAAATCAATTGAGTGCTTTTAAAGAAAAATACTCGCACATTAATTCAGGTCAGTTACACAGAACACGAAATTGATATAAAAACGAAACGCATTGTTGTCTAATATTTAATAGAAATCTTCTCGTATGTTTCAGTTTTCATATCAAGTTCTTGACAAGAGATTACTGTTATGAATCATGGGGACAGAAAACCCGCTTTATTATTTAACTTATTTTAACATGAAATGGATAGATTCGGGAGGTATTCTCGACATTTAGTTATGTCACTCCCTCCCTTATCGTATTTCATTCGAAAACTTCCATAGCGACCGTATTAGAATTCATTCTAATACACACACATACACTGACTACTGAAATCTAATTAAGTCTGACGTCTATAGCGTCGTCAGCTTATGTTCTTGAAGCAATATTGTTGAATTGTTAGTAAATATTGAGATTATGAAAGTTTTCAAATGTTATGTTAATCTATTCTTACAATCTAGGGACAATAATGTATGAAGGAACCCACCTCTTCGCATAGTTGCATCATACGCCGAGTCGACTCCAATGACTGAAATATTATAAATTACACCGTTATTTTTATGTAATACAAAATTATTATATCAGTATACGATTGTTATTTTTTGAATTATCACCAGTATCATCATCACTGATGAACAGTGGCCATAAGATCTCATCTTATGATCCATCTTTAATGAGCATATTACTAAAAAGACGCTAGATAAATAAAGAAGCCTGTATTGAAATTCAAGCAAACACGGGTTTGAATGTAGACTTGAATATATTCGCTATTAGTAGTTGTTGCGAACACACAAATTCAAAATATTGATTGGTACTATTTCAATCGTTATCTTAGGTAAGATCTTCAAAATAATATTGGACAGTATGCACCCTGGCGGGCACAGCAAAAATTAGAGGAAGCCTAATGTTTTTCTCCTTTAAGTCATATAAGAAGAGTTCCCTCTAATCCCAATGGTTTTTTTTGGTCTGAATTCCACTTGACTGGCCTTTAAATCAGATCAGAATGTCTTAATATCTTTGACTGCATCATTAAAGTTAACGAGCACTGGTCGATTAGATTCGCCTTTGTCGTCTATCTGTTTTGCTGAATCATGAATATCGGTAAAGCAAGTGCTGACCTCATCGGTAACTTGACCGGCTTTCATTTGGAGCTGCTCGAGCTCGCTGCGAGGCGCGCCATTTTCGGCGGGGGGCGCTGCTGCCGGCATCCTGGAACAATCGAAGCAAGAACTGTGAGAATCAAAGAAGTTAAAAACAGCTTGCAAACTCACGTTAAGTAATAGTTGATAGGTCTATCTATACTCTATGCACCTTACAAAATGGCTATTGACCTTCACGGGTTGGGTTTTATTGGCGGTCAAGCAGCTTGACCTGAAAGGCCAGGATCTACAGCTTGACTCAAGCTGTAAACCCTGGCTATACAGTAGATACGCTATTTGTGACGTTTTAAGGCAGCGTGATGGCATGACTCCAGGATAGGGTATCTCCATATTATTAAAAAGTATGGAAGTCAATAGTTTTTTTATGAATATAAAAATTTTAATAGTTTTAAGAAGTTATTTATATCACCGTACTGTAAAGTTACAAACATCACGTAAGACGTTGACGACTGGTCTTGTATTTGTTCCGTTTAGAGCATATTCGCATATTTGTACACTGTAAATACGTATGATTATGCATAGTTTGTTGATAAATGCAATGACAATAAAGTAAATGACTGTTTTATCATTAGGAATGCGAACAAGGTGCTGGTTTATGCAGTAGGTAAATAAAAATACACTGTTGTTAACTTCAATAAAATTGGAAGAATCATAGTAGATACAATCTAAAAAACCGCAGTAGATCGATGTGTTTCGGCCTTGAAGTGGCTAACATTCGACCTTACGTTTGCAATTAACAAAATTAACTATTGTTGTACGAACACGCGTCACTTTTCGTACATAATGGCCTAAATTTGGGTGGAACAGGACATTGACACGAGTTTACGCTAGTATCCTCGCGTGTTATCCAAAAATAAGTGTAATTGTACGTGTTTATGTATCTACATTTGGATTTCCGAACATCGGCAGTTAAATTTGGGTGACTAATGTTAGAAAATTATCACACGTAGCACAACTACGAGTTCCAAGTACCAACCCTTCTAAGTTTCATTAAAAGGTTGTTATAGGCAAGTTGTACGTTGTAGCTGAAGACGAAGTTTCGGAATTACCATAATTTATTTACGGTACGTGCTCCAACCAAAGCTCTAGGGCGCGGTCGGGAATCTTCGATAAATCAGTTTTATTCCAGTTCTCAACAAAGACAACATATCTTACAGATATCGTCACAAAGACTTAAGTTTCCATAAATCGAAATGACGCTTCTACATTGCCTGCAAATCTCTTGATAGCCAAACGTGATTCTCTTTGCGAATAATCAAGTGGAGGTTGAAGGACGAACAAAATCAAGAGATTCCGTATTTCGGGATTGTTATGCCAATTATTTTTGTAATCAAAAGGAAGTAAATGTGAAGAGAGACATCAGAGTTGGCGACGAAAGTTAAATCTCGAGACGTAAATTAATATAACAACCATTATGATTCAAGAATGTAGGTCAAGATACCTATTAGGAATTTCCTACTAAACATTGTTTATTGTGTGTATTACCACAGAATAATAATAAGTACTGTATTACCTTCGCCTTGAATTTTTAAACTAGGTAATATTCACTTTCCTCGTAGACTACTACGTCAGCAAAAGGGAACAAGCTAAATAGTTAAAAGCGACCGGCGCACGCTAGGCGTTTAGCTTTTATTTCAACGTTAAACTTGCTAGTTTTCTAGGTTTATTTCAAACTAATTGCGGTTTCACCTTCTATTTGCGAATTGCAAATGTTTCAGCTAAATAACGAGCATTAAGTTTCCGTCGCAAAAATAATGCTATTGGCTATTTCTCTATTGCTAAAATCAGCATTGCGACGTTTTTGCAGTCGACGACTACTAATTAACCGATGTATAAATTAACAATCCGTTAGTTTGTAGTGTGCGTCGCCACTCTCTTGAAAATATTGCTAGATATTGAAAACTAGCTCTTCTAGTGTGCAGATACAACTGATACAATCTACTGATCTCGACACTCAACATGCGCATCATGAAGATCTGAAATGAGGTCAATAGGTCACAATAATGGCGGAGAAAGTATTTGCTAATTTTGTCCAATTAATCGATTAGAATGCAGTGGCAATGCGCAGCATTGCTCCAATTTTCAAAACGTATAAAACAATGCCGCATACTGTCTATTAAATATTGATCAAAAGAATAATCAATGCGACAGATTATACAAAGTACCACGATATTTTTGGAAAGGAAATTATCGGTCACAATTTGTCACAAACAAATTTCCATAATAACAGCGGTATTTGGAAGGAAAGCCCTTCTGGCATCGAAGATTAGCGCTCGGGGGTGTCGGGCGGGAGGGACAGTTTATGAGGCCTTCATTCACGGGCAGATAACAACAAACATTTCCAGTTTCATGATGATAACGTAACGAGTGTGGTAGATGGTTACACTATGTTTACAAGATAGTACACGAGTGAAAAAGACAGTGAGTTACTGGCAGAATCAGAGCAAAGAAAAATAAAATAATGAACGTAAACTCAAGAGCGAGGTGGCTTTGCTTGATGTGAGTCAGTGGCGTATTTGTCTTGAAATATTTGTCATTTGAATGTACTCATTTCCCTTTGAAGGAACGTCTGGCGTGTTTTCCTTTTACCTTATTATTAAAAGGCCAAAGGCATCCCGACCTTTGTCATCTCGTTCTACACACAATTTAATATTTATTTTAACTTTAGTAATATGTAGCTGAACAATGAACTCAGCAAATATTATAAACAGGGCGGGCGACCTTGAACGCCTGAACAAAGAAGGGGTGGTCGTAACCCAGGGTTGCCATTTCCACCCCTCTTTTATAGCGAATCTGTTTGCGGCCTCTTCAGACAACCGAAACCATAATCAAAGTTTAGGGGACTTTAACGGCTTACCTATACGAGCCTCGATCTTATAAATAAAACAGACATGTGTTCCTTTTTTAACATTCTTAGTACGCCCGTATTCACAAATTGCAAATAGAACGTGAATAGAGCTCTGTGATTGGTTCGTGTGTCACCCTGTGCATCCACGCGCACTGTGAGACCTCATAGTAATAATAATGTTAGTGAATACGGGCGTTAGTCAGTCTCTTCTTAAATCTTCATTCTCTCATCTCGACTCAGTATTACCAAGGCTTATGTTTAACACTATCACAGCACAGCACTTCGTTATAATTAGCAAAAATCAATCAAGCAAAGCATTAGGTGATTCAAATCGATCCGATTGGGTTTTGTTCCAAAATAAATAATGTATGTATAAGTTTAGTTGCACAATATTAGATAACTGTGCCATCACTAAATACCGTGTATCGATCGTCTGGTAGCTAGAACGTTTTCTCATATACCATAAATTAATTCGATTCTATAAACACGAATCGGTTCACTAGGCTTGGCAGAATTCCCGGCATTTTCTCTATGCTGTGCCATTTGTCTTCCACTCTGCTTAAAGTTGCGAAAAATTGAAACTATCAACTGAAGCGCACACGGGTCACCGGATTTATTCAGCCGACTGGGTCTCACTCTCGAGTAAAACAAAACAGATCAAGCTCGGGAAAGCTGGAAATACGGGGACGTAGCCAGTCAACCAATAACTTCCTTGAATATGGGACACGGTTAAATAAACTTTAAAACGTGATAGCAGGTGCGAGTTACAAATGCGACAACAGACCTGTATTGTGTTTCAAGAGACAACATTTAAGTAAAAAATCAAAAGAAAAAAATTACAGTCTGGCACAGTAAAATTGAAACTCGTTCAATCTTGAATCTACGATTGAGCTTGAAGCTTTGACCGTCGTTTGAGAAACCACAATTTCTTCAAAATAAGATTTATGTAAACAACCAATAAAAATTGAACCTTTTGGAATAAAATATTTTCTTCAGGAATAGAAATCCGTAGGGTGGAATTGTGTAAAGTAATCGTTATTATTTGACAGTTGATAACGTACGATTATTAACTGAATTAAAAATAGCAATAACAGAAGATTTCTAGGCACTTGTGGGCAACCATAAATTACTGGAACATTGGAAAATGTTGAACCCTCGTAGAAACTTCAAATGATTTGGCAATTTGGGCCACTCTGTTTAGTAGGGAATTTAGTGCAATGATTTGTATGGAGACCCCTCNCAGCTGAAGGCAGGTCAGGATACTTAATTTTACTTTTTGGTTTAATTATAATACCTTTTTTGTATCAGTAAGACAAAAATAACAATCAGATGATTGGTTCGTTGGTTCCAACCTAATCATAGGGATTGCAAAAGGCATAGATCGAGATCTTTTCGCCCACCCAGTGAAAAGACCCACACATGTAACATAACAGATGTATGGAACCCTCACTTTGTCTTGTTGTCCGATGGAAAAGCCAAAATACTGTTCATATAACTTAGTTACTAATGGTGTCAAATTCCTTCGCTGAGTTTTGAAAGTAATGTCACCACAAATTTAAAAAAACTTTTAAGGATCATTTTTGCACTTTCTTGACATTATTTAAGAATCACTTAACTCTAAAAACAGAACAAAACACTACGCTCTTCAAATAAACAATTTCTCTGAATGCGAAAGTGAAAAAAAAAGGTTAATTTTTAATTTTGTGGGTAGTAGCTGTAACACGAAAACTAGACCTGATGGAATCAAAATAAATATGGAAATAAATTGAGGGTAGGTAGGTAATTTAAAATTAGCAAGCACCTTTCTTGTTACAAAATTTTGTTGACCAGTGATATTTATTTTATTCATGAATTCATACTATTTGGTTCATAAGCAAGCAAGAATTATTATTTTAGAATTTATTTAGAGTTGCTGGCACATCAATCTACCATGATTTGTATTTTTTCGTCAATTGATTTTGAACTCTATGTGTGAGACATAAGGTTGAAAATAATTTAAATACATTTTAATATTGAAAATATCATAAGAAGAAAGCACTAAATAAAGAACTTTAATTTGTCTAAACGTCTTAATGATTAAAAAATACAAATCATGGTAGATTGATGTGCCAGCAACTCTAAATAAATTCTAAAATAATAATTCTTGCTTGCTTATGAACCAAATAGTATGAATTCATGGATAAAATAAATATTTTTTTCCG